CCTGCAACCAGGTCACACCCACCGCTCAGCCTGGTCACACCCACTGCTCAGCCTGGTCACACCCACCGCTCAGCCTGCAACCAGGTCACACCCACCGCTCAGCCAGGTCACACCCACCGCTCAGCCTGCCCGTCATGCGACTGCTCCAGAAATCACCCGGGCCCAGAGGTGCAGACCCGCTCACCTGAGAAGAGCAGCCAGAGCCTGCCACGCAAACACTCGGGGAGGCCCATGGCCACCAGCTTCCGGATCTTCTCCGTGCGGAACATGCACACGGTCCTGCCATATTCCACAAAGTGGTCCTTCCACAGGCTTATCTTTACCTCTTCCCTGGACTGGAAACGGGAACATCGTTAAGGTACAAAGAAGCCCGGCCTTTTCCTTGAAACCTGGATGGGAAGAAAAACGTCTGTCCCAACACTAACGTGACCCAAAGCAGACGGGGGCGGGAAGTGGGGTGGGAATGGAGGCCCAGGGAGCTCATCAGGGGTCTGGCCAGAGCCCGCTGTTGGCTCAGCCGCAGAGGGTGAAGGGGGACAGGGCAGAGGGTGAAGGGGAGCGGGCAGATCCGAGCCTGCCCTGAGCTTCCTGCCGGCGGAGGAAACACAAACCTGAACACGCCGCGCGCGCGCGCGGCTCTATCAGAGCAAGAACGCTGCGGCCTATCCGGGCCATTACACACCCTCAGAGCTGCCCGAGGGCAGGATGTCAGCTCCTTTGAAGTGAGGGGTTTATTTATGCTTTTAATCATCTCGCGTCCCAGTCGGGGGAGCTCACACGTGCATTCACTGTTACCCTTCTGTGAACAAGGCAATCGGGGCTCTGTGCGGAGCGAGCAGTGAGCAGGATGCTCGGTGCAGCCCGGGAAGAGCCTGCACGGCCACCCGAGCTGGTGGCTGCAGAGCCGCCCGCAGGGCACCACCTCCCAGCACGGCCTCCGGCCTCCGCTCACTCACCTCCTGCAAACACTTCCCTCAGCTTCTCCCGCCAGAGATGAAGCTACTGAGTAAATGTGACCAAATGTCTGAGTCCAATAGAACAGGAACAGGAGCCTCCGTCCCAGCAAAGAGGCGGTGCTGAGGGAGGACTCAGATGCCCTGGGGCCAGAGGAGGGCGCAGGGGACCCACGGGACACCCAGCACGGCCCCTCAGGGCCACAGCATCCTCCGCGCACACACACGGGGCAGGCAGCGGGGACCAGCACACCCCTCCCTCCTCTGCGCCCAGGAGGCAGAGCGGGGACCTGCTGTTCGGGTTGCCGGCAACCTGCACCTCTGCCCCCTCGATGCTGAGCTGCAGGAGCAGGGGGCTGGGAGGCGGCACCGTGCCAGCCCCAGGAGCGCCCGCCAGGGGGCCTGCACCCACCATTGGCAGGACAGCGCCCGGGGCCTCCTCTCCACTCTCCTCGCTGCTCTGAGAAGACACCATTTCCAGGTCCCCAAACGTGTGGTCGTTGCAGGCGCTTGTTGACTGAAGCGGCAGCGGCGTCTGTGGGGCGGGGAAGGAAGAAGCAGGTCACTGCCTCGCACCGGACACGGCGCCCCTGGAGGTGTGAGCGCAACAAACTCAAACCTGCCCAGGACTGACCCTCAGGAAGCAGACTAACCGCACCCAGAGGATTTGACCCTCAGGGGAAGGGGGGCCCCTGTGCTGCCCGGGAGACACCCCCCGCCCACCGCGTGCAGAGCTGAGCAGCGCCAGCGATAGACACCACCCGCACTGAGCCGTCTCCTGTCCTCCCTCTGCTGGGGGGGAGGCGGGTGGGGGAGGGACGGAGACCAGGCCGTGCCTGCAGGCCCACCCGCAGGGCGACAGCTTCTCTCGGAGGTCACACGGCCCCCACGTGGCCCCTCCCTCCACCTGAGGCCACGACCTA